ATTAAAATTATTTTTATTTTTTTTATAAATTAATAGTAAAAATATATAATAAATAAACTTTTAACATGCAAAAATTAAAAATTTTTAAAATATTTATATATATGACTTATTTATTACAATTCACACACAAGACACAACACTTAGAACACCATTTGTCTTAAATTAAGCAAAATCTCATTTGAAAATAGCAACATGCATGTTCATTCCCCAGTACCCAACCCCCTTGCTTCTCTCCTCCTAGTTGGCAGCACATTTGGAATAATAAAATTCTAAGAAATGCTTCCACGATTGATCGTTTGTGGACTAAATGGTAAAAATAGACGGCCAAAGCAACGCCGTCAATAGAAGGATGACAATAAACAAAATAAGGGGAGTACAGGGATGACATTTAGCACTTTTGGGAAAGTAGAGGGATGACCATGAACAAAACCTTAGTAGAGGGATGGACATGAATAAAAATTAAGAGTAGAGGGACTATAGTTGGCTTTAATCCGCCTCCATCCTATCCAAACCATGCAAGGTGGGCGAGTGAATCCCACGATGCAACGGCTTCACGCAAACACGCGACCGCCGGCGCAACTGTTGTCTCTATCCGACACGTGATGTTCTCCCGCGGTTTCTCTGTGCCGTACTTTTATTCCGCCCACTGTTTATTTTAATTTTTTATTATTATTTATTATCATAAATGTCAATAATTGAAGGGTTAAACCATTCATTTAACTTCTCACTTTATAATATTAAACTTTTAGTTTTTAAATTTAAAAACTTAAAAATTTTAACCCCTCAAAATCTACTAATTCTTCGTTAAAGTAATAACATAAGATTTACAATATTAGTCTTCAAAAATTAAAAATATAATAATTTAGTTCTAAATTTAAAATTTTTAAAAATTAATAAATTAAAAAGAATTAACAATTCACTTTTCCACGTACATTAGAACAATATTAAAAATTTATGATAAATTGAGTTATTAGCTCAATTTAAAGAAAGAATTTTGATTGATGTTAAAGAAAATTTCTTAATTGAATTTAAAAAAATTTTCCAAGAGATTTAAAGAATACGGTTAAGATTTTTTTTAGTTTCAATCAAATTTTTTTATTTAGATTGAGTTAATCACTCGATTTTATGTTATATATCTAATATTGATCTCTTGTACGTGGTAAAGACATTCATTAATTATTTTTAATTTTAAATTTAAAATTTTTAGAACTAAATTGCTATATTTTTAATTTTTGAGACCTGATACTGTAAATATTTTATTTTTACTTTAATGGAGAGTTAACGGATTTTATTAATTTAAAGACTAAAATCTTCAAACTTTTAAGTTAGAAGTTAAAAACTTTATAGTGTAAGATGAAAGGTTAATACCTTCACATTTATGAAGGTAAGGGTCAATTGTATACTTTAACCTAATTGAAGATGGTTGCTCTTTATCGTCACTATTTGTCTATTTGTCAATATGACTTGTTCCCCATGCATCTCACGCCATCCATGTCTTTTTATGTTATGATATTTTCTTATTTATTAATTAAGATTTATCTAATTTATACTTTTAAAAATATATTAAATATATTTTTTATAATAAATTTATATTAAAAAATAAAAATCAACTTTTAATTTGTTAATTGTATAATTAAATTTACATTACACTAAAATTAATATTAATTTTTACAT